TCGATATATACAAAAAATTATGAACCTTAATAAAATATTGTATATATAAACGTTACACACTCAAATGTAAAAACAGATTTCAAGCTTACTATATATACAGTTAACAAATGAATATTATACAATCAATTTAATCATTAATTTTTTTTAAAAAAAAACTTGAAATCACAGATGCACATCTATAACTGCAATATATATACCAAAATTATTGTACATTCTACAAATTCCTAAAAGAAATTGAAAAAATATTTGACTTTGAACTGGTATTATCTTTCTATAGCTTTAGAATTCTTTTTTTGGGAAAATATTTGATTTTGAATGTTTTGCTTAAATCATGAAAATTATGTGAATTTATTGTTACCACCTTTTGTGCCACTGTTACCATTTATTAAAAAATAATTTTTTGTATAAATTTAATTAAAAAAACTTTTTATACAAATTTGAAGTCACTTAAAAACTAAACTATACCCATGGAATGTAATTATTTAAACTATACCCACAAAATGTAATTTCATAAAATATGTTTGCCATATATGAAATTTCCCCTTTTATTTAAGCCTCGAGCACTAGAACGAAACCAATTCTTACCACAAGCTTTTAATAATATGGTCGTGATCTGTTGAAATTTCGTTTTAGACATCCTATTTCATTGGCCATAGTGGTATTAATTTTTATATGTATACAGTTCTTTATATACATTCAATAGTTGAGATTTTCTCAATTTATGGCTTTGTGTATATTCATTGAGTGAGATTCAATAAGAAATATGAATTATCTTATTGTCAACAACTCAAAAATATTATTGTTGTTAAAAGGTGCTACCCCTCTCATAAAATTCTGACAACAGAAATACTGTTGCAATATGACAACAAAAAATATACTTGCTAGTTATTTTCACAAGTCAAAAATGATCCCTTTTAACAACAAAATATTATATATGCGTCAACTTAGCTTTTGACAATAATTTTAATTTTTATTGCATAAGCTTTCGCATCAAAGTTTATTGTAACAACATTAAATATATAGCAACAGAAAATGTTGAAGGCAAATGCCTTCTTATTGTAGTGAGTATTAGGTTGATAAGCCGCAAGCATATCCTTCATTCGAAGGTTAGCGAACTTTTAAAGGACGATTTGATTTGGATAGCTTAATGAGGAGATGACCATGGTTGGAAGCATGTCCTTATTTTGATAGCTAGCGGGGTAGTATGAGTACTAGAATAGTGAAGGAAGAGACGATATTGTTATAGGGTATCATTTGGATCACAAAAATAGACATTCATGAAAGATAATGGATGGTTCAACCATAAAATCAATAAATCATTTATTTACTTTTGATCTCTAAGACTTTGCTATTATTATATAACTAGCCATTAGTATTTTTTCCAAGTTTATAACTTCGTATGCAAAAGTATGGCTCCCATGTCTTATTATATAACTTGAAATAGCTTCTTTCAAGATAATAAAATATTAACCATTTGTTTGCAATATAACACATTGATTGTGTTGTTCAAAAGCTTATGAATACATAAGAAAATTCATCTTGTTTAATTCAAAACTCTAAAATTAGTAGACCAAATTGTTGGGTTTTATTTGCCCTGATTTCTTACCATAAATAAGTTTTCCTTTTAGGAAAAGGTTTTGGATTGATTAATCTTTTTTCTGGTAGGAAAAGATTTACGACTCTATAAATAGAGACATGTTCCTTTTAACTTAATCAACATTCACAATTAGTTCTAAAGGATTTGAGAGTTTTGGTTAGGGGGAGAATTTATGGGTCACAAGCTTGATACGTTATCACTTATGTGAACCTCCCATGTATTCCGAGTGAATTTAGTTGAGGTTGTTTCTCTTTGTATTTTATACTCTCATATTTATAGTGGATTTCTCATCTTCTTTGTGGATGTAGGTCGAATGACCGAACCACGTTAAATTGTGTCTTTTGATATATTTTTCGTTTATCTTCGTACTCGTGATCCTCAAGGTTTGCTTTGCTAGCTTCCGCATTTACACCTACTTATTTTCAGTCCTAACAAGTGCTATCAGAGCTAGATTCAATGATGGAGTCAGGTTTAGTGGTTCGATAATTGATGATTGAACCAGGTTAGAAGAAGGTGTTCATCTTGATGGGTGTAGTTCTATCCGCAACCTTTATGACAGTAATGAAGATTTTGTTGGAGAAATTATTTCAGAGAAGTTCTTTGTGTTGAGACATAAATTTTGCAAAGGAGATTATGGAGAGGAGAAACAAGTTGTTGAAGATTAAGTAAAGAAGATGGACAAATTTATTTTGTCAGTAATTCAGGCCAAGAGGGAGATTTGTTGGGTTTTATTTGCCCTGATTTTTTTTACCATAAATAGGTTTTCCTTTAAGGAAAAAGTTTTGGACTGACTAATTCTTTTTCTGGTAGGAAAAGGTTTAGGACTCTATAAATAGAGGCATGTTCCTTCTAACTTAATCAGCATCCACAATGTAGTCTTAAAGGGCTTTGAGAGTTTGGGTTAGGGGGAGAATTTGTGGGTCACAAGCTTGATACGTTATCACTTGTGTGAACCTTCCATGTATTCTAAGTGAATTTTGTAGAGGTTGTTTCCCTCTGTATTTTGTACTCTCATATTTATAGTGGAATGCTCATCTCCTTTGTGGACATAGGTCGATTAACCGAACCACGTTAAATCTTTGTGTTTTTTGGTAGTTGCTCGGACTCGGGCGGATATCCGAGACGAATGCGAATTCGAGAGTCGGATTCGGCGAAATCCAAATTTTAAGATTCTTGGGTGCGAATCCGAGTATAGATACGGGTGCGGGGATACGACTAAAAATTTCACTATTATAAAAATATAGTTATGAAGATATTCTAAATTTGAGAGATATATTGTGATAAACTTACATGTATTTTGTAATATTATATCTTTCGTTCTTCAAGATGAGATTACTCTTCTATTCTTCCTACAAAGACACAACAAAATAGAAACTAAACATTAAAAGCATTCACAAATCACAACAGAATAAATATAACTAAAAGAATTAATAAAAATTGGAAAGAAGAACTAACCTTAGAACATGGATAGTAATAACTCTTGAAAGTTGAAACAAAGTGAAAAGTGAAGAAAACACTACAATTATTAAAATTCAAGAGATGCACAAAGATATTTACCCACAATTTAGATATTCATAATTACTAATCAATATTCAATACACCAAGTAAAAGTGTAAAATATACTATTGAACAAAAAACAAGAGATTGTCTCAACTTAATTCATAACTTAAAATTAACATAACAACAAAATATTGTCAATTATCAAGTTATTTAATTAAGTTAGCTATCTCTTCCACATCTTCCACATCTTCTTCCAAATCTTCAAACTCTTCCTCAAATATCACACCTTCAATTTGAGGGTCATCTATTGAAAGCTCGGTTAAATCATTAGTTATCTCATCAATATCAAACCGATCTCCACCTAAAATAAATTGAAAAGAATAAGTATATTAGAAGATCTTGTATAAAAAGAAAATAACACCATTTAAACTAAATAATTGAAGAAAATATAGACATACCAACATCCAAATATTTGCTTGGCCGCCCATTTATATATTTCTCTTTCTTGTGAGACAACAATCGAAGATTATAATGTACAAACACTTAATCTTTGGCTCTTGAAGTTGCTAACTTATTTCTCTTGATATTGTGAATCAAAGAATATGTACTCCAATTTCTTTCACAACAAGAGGAAGAAGTCGGTTGAGTAAGCAACTTGTAAGCTAATTGTTGCAAAAGTGGAGCCGAGACCCCATGATTTGCCCACCAAGAAAGAGAATCTTCATACATCATAGTGTTTATCACATGAGGCTCACTAAAATAGCCATTTCCGCTACAAAAGAATCCATACTCCAATGATGCTTGTTTCATTTCATTCAAATTTTTAAAGTACCTTTGAAAGCACTTGACTCTATTCAATGAAATTTCACTATCTTCATTGGGAGCTAGCTTTCGAATTCCATTCTCTCCTTCAAGCCATGATTCATGATAATATTTGGGAACCAAATAATGTGCCATACAATGTAGAGATGTGTTACTTTTGTTCCACCTAGCCATAAGAATATTATGAATAGTATCAAAATTTGATTGACCGGAAATGAAATCTTTTCCCTCATTCTCAAAGATGACTTTCTTGACTTTCTCAATCATTGAGTCCCACATATCATAAATGAGATGTAATTTTGGACCATCAATATCGGCACTTCTTAGCATATCAACAATTGGTTCCGTAAATTTCAAGAAATAGTCACTATCCCATTTTTCATCATTCATTATAAGCGATTTTATTTCACGTATCTTGGCTTCAATTCCCTTATCCCCCTTATAATCCTTCCATTCATCATCCATGACCATTTTCTCCAAAGAAGATTTTACTTTGCAAATTCAGGTGGTCATAATGATGTGTGAGGCAAAATCTTGTTGCACCAACCTTCAACAAACACAAATTCGAATGTTTTTGAAAAAGTGCATGTGCCATGTCATGGTTCACAACAAAATTCTTTAAATTGCTCACTTCACTAAGTAACTCTAAAATTCATTTACAATTAGTAAAGTGAGGTGATTTTTTCGAAAGTTGGCACATACTTTTCAAAGCTAGATTCAAACAATGAACAACGCAAGGAGTTCAAAATATATGAGGATATTTTTGCTCCACTATAGTACCGGCAAGTTTCATATTACTTGCATTATCCGTAATAACTCAAACAACATTGTTTGAACCTACAATTTTTACGATTCCACTAGAATTGATTGAATTCAAAAACATTGGGCCTCCACTAGATGATGTCATTATATTGATCAAAGGTCGTCTTTTAGTATCGGACCATCCATCCGAACAAATCGACAATCCTTTCTTTTTTCATGTACCTTTTATTGGTTGCAACTTTCTATTAATATGTGTTTTTTCTTGAGCTAAAAGAGTTGACCTCAATCTATTATATGATGGGGGAATATAACTGGGAATGAAATTTTCGGCTAGAAACTTAGAATATTTTTAAAAAAAAGGAGAGTTGGCAAAGTTGAATGATAAACCTGATACGTAGAACATCCTAGCGGCTAATTTGTCGGTCGTATTCCTCTCATAAATGCTGAATGATTTTCCGATAGCTCCACTACTCGAACTCTTTCGGTTTTTTTTGTTGAATTAGATCAGTCCCCTCCAGAAGTGATATATAATCATCTTTTTTTCTTGCATCAACTTGAACATTGGTTCGTTTTCTTTCCGCTTGTTCATGATCCACCTTCAAATCACATACATATCACCATTATTTTCTTTACATATTTGAACACCATAAGCCGATAATCTCAAAATATGTGCTTTCACCCTATTATATGATCCTGTAACTATTTTATTACAATAGTTACAAGACCATGTCCTATTCCCACCCCCATTTGGAGCCATCGAAGGAACTTTAACATGATTCCATAGAGGTTTATCATCAAAATCTATTCCTAAACTTTTTATAAGTCTCATAAAATCTTTTTTTTTGACTACTTGATGTCATCTTGCTAAAGAAAGGAAGATGATTTTTTTTTGCTTACAATAAACTTGAATGAAAAAGAAAGAAGAAACAATGGTGTTTTTGGTTTTGGGAGGGAAAAGTAGTTGAGGATGATTTTTTTTTTTGACTAGATGATGATTGATGTGATATTCTTTTTACTCCTACTCTATTTACTTGGAAGACTTGTGAGGTTTCTTTTTTCATCATTCAAGAGGAGTGTGTATATTGTATACATATAATTTTACTATTAATATTTGAATTGTTTTTATAGTTCTAATAGAGAAATTTATGTTATCTAATTTTTATTTTTGTTGGAAACGTTTGGGAGTAATGCTTTTTTCTAAGAATTAACTAATTTTAATATTTCTTATACTTATATTTTTAGTATTGTTTACATCCCTAGTCTGTCAAAATAGGACGAAACGTCGCGGCAACTCAAAAATAATTTAATTGATTCAATTTTAACAAAGTTTAAAAAATAAACGAGTTTTAAAAAGAGTCGCCACCTAATTTTAGGAAAACTAGGAAACCAATTATTAATCTACGAAACCAAATTGATTCTAGGTAAGGGGTCAAAGTTATTGCGAAGGGAAGGGGTTAGACACCCTTCGGAATCCAAAAATGTGGTTCCCGACTTAATTCATTTTTTTTTCAAATTGAGGAAGAATATAAAATAAAAACATATAATAAACACACAATCCACACAAAAAACAATAATTATCGACCTAAAGTTTGCCTAACGTCAATATTCACAAAATAATGAATGAAATATAATTTGAACTTTTTCGAATAATTTCAAGAAGAAGCACCTCCCGGTACCTGTAAAGACACTTAGTAAAAGAGTTAGTGTCAAAATAATATAAATAAAAATAAATAACTCAAATAATAACTAAAATAGAAATCCGTCTTATTAACATGGGAGGCCTTGGAAATCGACGGTAATTTCTTCATCGGCCAATTTCAACAACTAAAATATATAAACTTAAATTAAAATTTCGTCTTTTTATAATGGGGAGGCCTCTAAACCCGACGGATAGATTTTTCATCGGCCCATTTCAACAACTAAAATATATAAACTTAAATTAAAATTCCGTCTTTTTAAAATGGGGAGGCCTCTAAACCCGACGGATTGATTTTTCATCCGCCCTTGTAACTCATTTCAACTCAAAATCTACGAGATCAATAAAATATTATAATGTGAAACTATTGTTCAAATAAAATTATCATGGTAAATACCGGTTCAATCTAAGCATAGCCAAATAATACTTATAGTAATAACCTCAAGAAAAATGAAACACTAAGACATACCAACTTCCTAAATATACTATACTAAATGAGAAAAGTGGCAGCCATAACATCCGTTTAAAATAAATAACAAAAGGAGCACCAACTTAATAATTTTTTTTATAAACTAAAGAAATGCAATTAAAAAGAAATCAGCCAAATCGAAATAGTAAACAAGAATAATATATCCCAAATATAATAGCAACTAACAATAACAATGTATTAATAAAAGCAATCACAATTATTTGAAAACTAAAATAGTCATTAAAACTTTACCCAAAACAAAATAATAAAAATAACAATAACTCATGAAGCAAACCTAGCACTAAGTGAAAATAAAGTGATATCAATTCTGACCAATATAAATAAACAACCCATCAAAACTAAAATATGTATTACCAATTTTTTTTATCAATGATAAATGATATATAATAATAACAGTAGTAATATATTAACAAAAGAAAAGCCAAACAAAAGAATATGATAATAACAGTTGCACATCAAAATGAAAGCAATAAGCATCAAATTAGCAGCATTCACCGGAGGAAAAACATAAAATATGGCTTGGAAGGCAACAGTGGATGGAGTTTGACTCCCCGGCCAGATCTGAAAGAAAAAAATGCTGAAAGAGATTACCGGAGTTGGAGCCACGCTTAAAGTTTTGGGATTGAGGCGGTGGTGTGTTATTTATGGCGTCGCCGGAATATGTCAGTGAGTCACTACGTCGCCGGAGCTGTTGTTGTTGTTCGCCGGAGCCTGCTGCCTAGTGGTTTCACTGCTCATCTTTGCCAGAGCTGTTGCCGCTAGTGGCTGCTGTCCGGAGTTGTTGAAAGTTATTGCTGGTCCTCGTAGAGCTGCCGCTGCTGGTTCTCGCCGGCATCGCTGCTGCGTAGGGCTGCTGTTGGTGTCACTTCGTTGCCGGAGCTATCCCTGCAAAAGAGAAAAAAGAGAAAAAGGGAAGGAGAATGGGGGGAGAAACGGGAAGGGGAAACCGGAAAGGGGGAAAGGGAGGGGGAAACGAGAAGGGGGAAAAGGAAAGGAAAAGGGAAGGGGAAAAGGGGAGGGGAAGGGGCGACGGGAGAGGCAACGGGGGAAGGGGCTGACGCTAAGAGGGAGAGGAGGAAGGGAGAGGGACTGGTGGCTGATGGCTTGCTGCTGTCCGTCTCGCCTGCTGGCTGTCACTTGCCGGAGAAAGAGAAAAAGGGAAAAGAGGAAGGCAACGAGAAGAAGAAGAGAGGGGGAGGAACAGGGGGGGAGAGAGGAAGGGGTTGTGAGGGAGGCGGCTAGGGGGTGTTTGGAGGAAGAGAGGAGAGGGGGCTGCCTGGGGAAGAAAGAAGAGGAAGAGTGGATAGTTTTTTTTTAGGGTTCCCTCTTTTTTCTCAAAATTAATTCCCCATCCATATTTTGACCTAGTTAATAACTTAAATAAAAAAAAACACAAAATGGGCTCAAATGACGGACTTAGTATTGTGGCCCAAAATTACGAATTTTTGAAAATCTTAGGCCAAAATTGGGTGTCAACAGTTGTCCCTTTCATTGTGTATGATTGATGAAAGAAATCGTGGACAACGAAAATTGACAAACCCAATTTTGACCGAACACATGACTTTTGTAGAGAAGTGTGGTTGCATATGGTGGAAGTCAAACCCAGACCTGTCTCCAAAAGGTTCCATGATGTGTTGCGTCCTTGTTGAAGTGGTTTGCACCTGTTTTTTTTTTGATCTTTCTTTGTTTTATTTTTGAAGAAATTCATCCTTTCTAATGCTCTTGACAAAGACTGAGATAAAACTCGTTAGCTTAAAAATGCAATTTAAATGGGAGACAGTGTCTTCCACCGTGTCGACACTCAATTTCTCTCCTCGACATTTAACGTCAGTTGACGTTGAGGGATAAATATTTCCTTTGAGATGCACGATTCTTTTTCTGGCAGTGCATGATTGCTTGCAGGGCATGAATATCTTTCCGCGATGTTCAAATTTGCGAGGGATGAAATCTTCTCGCGATGCATAAAATTTTGCGAGGGATGGGATCTTCTCGTGATGCATAAAATTTTGCGAGGAATGAAATGTTCTAGCGATGCATAAATTCCGCAAGGTATGAAACCGTCTTGTGATATGTAAACTTTTGCGAGGAATTGAATCTTCTCGTGATGCATGAAATTTTGCAATGAATGAAATCTTCTCGCGATGAATAAATTCAGCAAGGTATGAAATCTTCTTGCGATATGTAAACTTTTGCGAGGAATTGAATCTTCTCGCGATGCATAAAATTTTGCGAGGGATGAAATCTTCTCGCGATGCATAAAATTTTGCGAGGGATGAAATCTTCTCGCGATGCATAAATTCCGCAAGGTATGAAATCTTCTCGCGATGCATGAATATTAACTAGTGATGCATGAATTAACTCGCGATGCATGAATCGTCTCTCGATGCATGAATTGACTCTCGATGCATGAATATTAACTAGTGATGCATGAATTGACTCTCGATGCACGAATATTAACTCTCAATGCATGAATTAACTTTCGATGCATGAATATTAACTCTCGATGCATGAATTAACTAGTGA